CTGATGCATAACAAGTGATCGCAAAGACCATGGCCTGTATCAGACACACCTTAGTCTCCAGAGAGACACCATTGCTCTTCAGCACTTTGGAATGGTTCCTCACAGCAGACTTTCCCATGGCAATACGTCTTTTAATTTCCTGTCTACTGGTGTCAAGAGTGTTGACTATGGAGCCAAGCAGACTAAAGCGGTGTACAATCTCAATCTCTTCGCCGTCCATCCTGATGCTGCCAATTGGCCCAGTAGTGAGAATCTGTCTTCTTGACATTGAGCCTCAATCCATATTGGAGGCTGCAGTTCTTGACCCTCTGCAGCAAGTGCATGAGGTCCTCCTCAGTTTCAGCAAGCAGGGTTGTGTCATCTGCATATCGCAGATTGTTGCTAGATCTTCCACCAATCTTGATCCCACATTTATCCTCACAGAGCCCAGCCTCCCGGATAATCTGTTCTGCATACAGGTTGAAAAGGTATGGAAACAGAACACATCCCTGGCCTACGCCCTTCCTAATTTTGAACCATGCATTGTTTCCTTGCTCTGTTCTGACGACTGCCTCTTGGTTCAACTTCATCTTAGATATTCTTTGCTAAATAAATACTCATGTGCTCTCTTCCCTTGGTTCCTCTCCCCTTAAAATCTATAGTTTTAGTGTTGTATGAGGCTTGCCTAGTAGGACATAATGATTAGTAATTTTAACCTTTTTTGAGGTGTTCTGGAGGCATGCTCTGTAGTATGTTCTGGTGCCAGCCAAAACGCAATGTTTGAATACACCAGTGCCACGGAGAGAGTCCCCTCTTATTGAGATTTGCAGCCTTTAAAAGTTGACAAAGGGTCCCATTGAGTCATCAGGAGTTGTCTTTTGTTTGTTTTAATAGGAGCTGTGGTAATGCAGCTTTTGTTGAAGCACTCAGCTGCTAAACCACAGTAGAAACAAAGAGTCTGATTTCTTAAACCTTTACCGTCTGAGAAACCCCACGGGACAGTTCTGCCTGTTCTCTAGGTGTGTGCTGTGAGTTGGTGTTGGCGTGACAACAGTGGATTTGGGGTTTAGTTTGGTTTTGTTGGTCCCCATGTTTTGGAATTTGTGTAACTAATTACCTTTCTTTTCCAGCTTCTTACCTCTCTGTGTCTGGTTTTGCAGGGCTGCCTGATTCTGAGTGATGAACTGAACCATGCATCACTTGTTTTAGGAGCAAGGCTGTCAGGAGCGACCATTCGAGTCTTCAAGCATAACAGTGAGTCCGCAGTGGAGTTCACAGCCAGCCTTAGTACTCTTACTGTTTGGGCAGTGAAAGTGGTAGCATTAATTACCTTCATAATAGAAAATACAAATGAAGCTCCAGTAGCTATATTTAGAATAACCTTCTGGTTCCCATTTTTTTTAAAAGTTCTAAAAGTAGAGACTGCAGGAAGCTTTTTGATATAAAATAAAATGTCTTTTCTTTTCTTTCACCTTTCAGTTTTTCATCCCTTTTCTTTGTGTTCAATATACATTGACTAGATAGGTATGTTCTGTCCTGCCATAGCACAAGGTATATAGAGATGATTAAAGCAAGGTCTCTGATTGTAAGAGTATTTGGCTAGTAAAGAGACTTAAAGACAGATTGCCAGTTACAGAACAGGAGAGAGACACTAAAGTACAGATAGAGGGATAGATGTCACAGGAAAAGAAGCCACTAGGCCACATCATTATCTTCCTAAATGAACACATCTTTGTGCTTTATTCAAATAATTATTTGTTTAAAAATATTTTGCCGCTTTCATAGTTAAAGTAAAAACCATACGAGAGGGGGGGAAATGACCAAACAATGTGTTAAATATCTTTTAGCCATATTTTGTGCACATATTGACAAAACACCTTAATCTCTACTGCTGGCTGGAAGGATTATGGATGGACAGTACTCTTTCTGACTTTTTATTTTGTGGTGGGAGGCTTGCATACAGGACTTTGTTTTCCGTGGCCTGCTGTTTTATTGGTAAAATACATGTGAATGCCCTTTGTCAGAACAGGTAGCGCTACGTCATGCTACCTCATCCCTTCAGCCCGCCTGACTTACTAGGTGGCAGGTGTATTTGCAATCACATATTCACACTGTCCTTCTCAGTCCTTACGTATTCACTTCTGAATGGCTCACTAAGCTTAGGAATGAGTCTGTAGACACAAAAGAGCTACCTGAATGGCAGGGTTGTTTATATTTAACATGCAGCACTGATCCTTTCACAGCAAGTTAATCATTGTACTCAACCATGCTGTACTCATCTAGCCAAGTTTCTATGCTTGTGAGCATTTGTTACATTTTCGGTGAGATTTCCGCTCAAATTGGTAGCAACTCACCCATTTTACCCTCTCTTTTTTTTCTGCCCAACTCAGTATATTAATGTCCTTTGCTGTCTGAGACATTCTTCCTGATTAAGAGATGTATATCTGCAGTTCTGGACTGAAGTTAGGAAAGAGGAAGAGAGTCTGTACTGAAATTCCTCTTTGTGTGCCATAGATATGCAGAGCCTAGAGAAGCTATTGAAAGATGCCATTGTTTATGGTCAGCCTCGGACACGAAGGCCCTGGAAGAAAATTCTAATCCTTGTGGAAGGAATATATAGGTAATCCTGCTTTATTTTCTAATCTTTGTGACTTTACGCCATGAAGTCATAGAATTCTAACGTTAAAGGAAACTCTAGTCTAGACCCCCCTCTGGAAAGTGAGGTGGCGTCTGTGGCATACTAAAAATACCTGCAGGCAGAGCCAGCCAGCGCGGGGACAGCAATCTTTTTGTCTGGTTCTTTTTTCTTTTTTCCATTGTTTTACACTGTCTCCACACCCCCCCTCTGTTTGGGTCTTGTCTTTTCATACTATTTATTGGAAGATTTTTACATAAGGGAAGAATTAGAATATGTTTTCTGTCAAATTCCACACAATTATAAGGGATATTTTATTTTGAGTAATTATTTGCTGCCTTTAAACTTACACTTTGCCACCTAATGTGTTGTGGAGTTTGGAGGGTTTTTGGTAATTTTAATTACATGTGCAATGTGATGCAGACTCTAATGTTGTCTATTATTATAAATTTTAAAAGACTCTGCAGTAACTTCTACCCTTAAATTGTAGATTAAGATCAGCTGTGCTCTCTCTGATGCTTATAAAAGCTTCCATCTATTCTCCCTAGTCATCTGTAGTCATGGCAGCATCTAACAGTTTAAAACCATACTTAAGAGATCTCAGACTATTTAAAAGGCAATAAACTTTGAGAATAATAATAATAATTTTGAGATATAAACATCTTTGTTCTCATTTATCCCATCTTGCCAGCATGGAGGGATCCATTGTTCGCCTTCCTGAAGTGATCGCCCTTAAAAAGAAATACAAAGCCTACTTGTATCTGGATGAAGCTCACAGCATCGGGGCCCTGGGCCCTACGGGACGAGGTGTGGTGGACTACTTTGGCCTGGATCCTGAAGATGTGGATGTTATGATGGGAACATTCACAAAGAGCTTTGGTGCTTCTGGAGGATACATTGGGGGCAAGAAGGTAAATGGGAATAGACTGTGAACATGTAAAGATTAGAAACTGGCTACTAGATTTAGCAAGTCCTGCTTAGCAGCTAGAGTGCTGAGCTTCGATGCTGAGTTCCTGAGTTTGTGGTGAGGCTCATAGTGCCAGTAGACTTTACACTTCAGCTGGCTGGTGAGTGAGTGTGATGTCTCCTCGCTGAGCTGAAGGCTGTTTCTGTTCATTGTTTCTTGTTTTCTTAATTTAGTTTCTTTCTACACTACATGCTGGTCTGAGATACAGAGTACTCTGTTGTATGAAAAAAATATGCACAGTGGTACTTCCTGTCTGCTGTAGTCTTTTGTTGGGTTTTAAGTTTTACTCACAATCTTAGTAGTAGTAAGGTTGTCATAACTGCCATTGAGAATAGAGGACTAGTTTCTTTGCCTTTGGGTACAGCTGCATCTTAAGGCAAATGTGGACACAGAAAGAAAAGAGATTGTTTTGCCAGCTCTTAGGTGATACAAGCCATTGCATTTTTTTACTTAAAAGTTATGTATGTGAATTCCAAGGCATTTGACGATCAGTGTAAATTGATAATGAAGGTGAACCATACTAGCAGGCTAACATTTAAATATATCTCTGCTTACTTTTTGAGACCTTGGGTAAGACATTTGACCTTTCAGTTTCCTTATCATTAAAATGGAAGTAAATATGTAGTTGTAAGAGTTTAAAAAATGTAACAGATGCCCATCATACAACGTAGATTTGAAAACATCGTGTGAAAGAAGATACACACAGAAAGCACGTATTGTATGATCTCTTTACAGAATGCCCAGGATAGGCACATCGACAGAGACAAAGTAGATTAGTGATTTTCAGGGGCTGGGGACACAGGGGAGGTGGAGAATGGCGGTTAATGGGTTCAGGGTTTATTCTGGGGATGACATAAAAGTCCCAACATTAGATCATAATGAAGTTAACACAACACCATAAATAAAATAAAAACCAATGAACTCAGCACTCTAAAAAGGTAAATTCTGTAGTATGTGAATTATATTTTAATAAAGCTTATTAAAGAACTCTGCAACAGTAGAAAAAAATGTTTTGTCAAATATGGGGTGCATATCATCTGTTCAGAATGTCATTAATTCCTCTTTAATCCTTGTCTTACCAAACCCATGGCTGTCAAGTCACCTTCAACTCATAGAGATGCTCCTCTTGTTTTCCAAGGCCGTGAATCTTCATGAGATGAGATTGCCCATCTTCCCTGCAGTAAGGAGTGCCTGTGGACCTTTGGGCTGACAGCCCCACACGTTACATACTACTACACTGGGATTCTAAACCTTTCCATTGATAGTGTTGAAGAATATCTTTCTTGCTGATTGATTGCCCTGTGTGTTGGGAGGAGCCCCTATTATTAGTCACTAGTGGCAACCACTTCCTAAGCAACATGCCTCCGGAAACTCTATGAACTTTGATAAATGTTGAGAGTTGTAGAGGGGCTTCAGGCCTTTTGTTCATAGGGTCACTATGAGTCGTGCTCAACTCGAAGGCACTCAACAACAAACAATCAAAATTGATAGTTTTTTTATTTTAAATTTTACCTGAAATTTTAAATCAACCCTGAAACCAGACTCACTTTGGAGAGTTATTTGCTTTTTGCTAAGATTTGTTGCTGAGCCAAAAGATGAAAACAAAAAACCATAAGTACTATTATGGAATATTTAACTATCCTTGTGCTTTGGGGTTTTTTCTACAATAGTTAGTGGTTTTGAAGTGATACATTGTTTTATACTCACTGCCATGAAGATAGATAGCTCTTTATTAACTTCTGGTCCCTAAGCTTCTTATGTATACATTGTGTTTGAAAATTCAGTGACATTAAAAGATATTAGTGGATGGGGATATATGATTGATGAAGAAAAACCACGGTTTTTCTGATCTAGTCTTAGAGTAACAGACACAGTAAATTTTTTTCACATAAATGTCATTTTGGGAAGCTGTTAATGCCTATAAAACTGATGTCAGAGGACCATTTATTAAGTGTGTAAAGATGGGCAGCGTAGGGTAAGACATTTTCTGTATTACGTCTACTCCTCACTTATCAGCTGGACTCTACCATTTTATATTTACAGGGCACTCACTCACTCACTCACTCACTCACTCACTCACTCACTCACTGTCAATGCGCTGGAACTGACTCAGCTGACCCTCCAGTGAGTTTTCAGGAGCCATAAATCATAGCGGGGGAAAGTGCCCGTCTTTCTCTCCTGCATTTGAACTGCTAGAGTGGCACTGCCTTTGGCCTAACAGTGCAGCTCCCTACAGACTACACCGCCAGAGGAGGGTAATCTGCTCTCAGCTAATTTGCACATTAATGATGTCTGTCTGGTGGTAATGAATACCAGTGACTGTGATGTGAGGCAAGAGTAACATGAGCTGTGAAGGTGAAGGCTCTGTGGCAGCATGACAGCACCATTAATCTCCGTGGTATCTAGAGGCTTTCTCTAATGCTGACTTTTCTTCTCTATTCTAATTTGTTTAAAAACAAAGCAAAGCCTGTTAGTTTAGCCTTCTTTCTGGCTCTGTTCTCTCAGCACACTTTAAGCATGTTAGTTGAACTTGCATCTATTCCAGTCCAATTGCTAAGTAACATTGAGTCAGAACGAACTCATAGCCGACCCTCCAGTGGGTTTTCAGAGGCAGTAGATTTCACAGGAGAAGGCCCATCATTCTTTGTCCTGAGGAGCAGCTGCTGGATTCAAACTGTGTGTCTTCAGATTGGCAGCACAGCTCCTTACCATTTGAATCTACTAGCAAGTAGAAGGGTAGCAGTGGTTGGCACTGCTCGTGAATTCAGGAATTCCCTCTCGTTTTCTCCCTAGGAGCTGATAGACTATCTGCGAACACATTCTCATAGTGCAGTATATGCCACGTCACTGTCACCACCTGTCGTGGAGCAGATCATCACCTCCATGAAGTGCATCATGGGCTTGGATGGCACCAGTCTGGGTAAGGCCTTATTTACATGGGAATATGTCTTCAGCTCAGTAAGGATGTAGCACCCAAACATGCTTTTTTCCTTGAGCCTGTTCTTTGTCCCTTTTCTTAAAATAAGGAGTCAGGTCTACTAAAGGGTAGAGTGGGCTAGTGTGTGAGGTTTTGTTTCTCTGGATGCTTACTGTTTGTTGGACACACACATCAGAAATACTAGACAAGTAAGTATTGAACTTTTTAATATATTGATGGTGAGCTTTTAATTTTACTCTCCTATATACTCTGTTTTACAAAATTTTTCATTATTGTAAATTTTAATGAAAATTTACAGAGACTTTGGATTTCCATTCATTCATTGTTGCCCTTTTCTCCCTACCCACCCCTCACCCCATAGTTCGCTCTTCTCTTTGTAAAGTAAAAGAAAATTCTTTCATCATTTGTTGATTTGGGGGGTTTTTTTAGTAATTTTAATGAACATTTACAGAGACTTTGGATTTTCATTCATTCATTGATGAATTTTTCTCCCTGCCCACCCCTCCCCCTTCCAGATCACTCTTCTCTTTAAAAAGTAAAAGAAAATTCTTTCGTTGGTGTACAATCCCCCCACCCCGAGTATACTCCATTATGCAGCCTTCATTCTGGACTCCTCTCATGACAACAGTTCTCTCCCTCATCTGTTTCAATGCAGTGTACATCATTCCTCCCCTTCTTCTCTGTGTTCCCTCAACACTGATGTCAGTCCCGTTTTACTACAGTGGCACCATGCAGTATTTGTCCTTTTGTGACTGAGATATTTCACTCAGCATAATGTCCTCCAGGGTCACACATTTTGAATAATATTTCATGAGTTCCTTGTTTTTCACTGCAACATAGTATTCCATTTTGTGAATATACCAGAGTGTCTCTATCCATTTATTTGTTGATGGGCACTTAGGTTGTTTCCAACTCGCTGCTATTGTGAACAAAGCTTCGATATACTCTTATCACTGTGCAGCTCTCGGATGCATAGCAAGTAATTTTGAGTACCATGGCCTGGATCGGGGCACCTTAGTCTCTAGACTGACATTGTTGTGCAACAGAGAGCTGAACAATGACTAAGGATTACTGAAGAATCGATGCCTTTGAGTTGTGGTGCTGGAGAAGGGTCTTGAACATATCTTGGACTGCCAAGAAAATGGCTAGGATTTTGAAGCTCCACCTCACATACTTTGGGCACATGGCCAGGAGAGACCAGTCCTTGAGGAAGAACATCATTCTTGGAAGGGTGAAGAGACTGCAGGAGAAGAAGATGCCAGATAAGATGGCTTGATATAGTATCTAGGGTAATGAGAGTAAGTGTGTCGGAGTCAGTGTAACTGGCTCAGGACAGGGCAGGCTTCAGAGCTCTTGTATTGAGTAGCTGTGAGTCACAGGCTATTTGACAGCATATAACAGCAACAATATAGACTCTCATGACACAATAACATGCCCTCTGAATCTTTCTTGAATTGTTTAATTTCACATAAATATATGGTAATTCAGTGTGTGAAACCCCCAGCCCTTTGATGCGGAATGCATTCCAACTCATAACAACCCAAAGGAACCATATAGTAGAACAGCCCCATAGGGTTTTCAAGGCTGCAGTCTTCACAGGAGCTGACCGCCACAACTTTCTAGTGGAGAAGGACTAAAGGATTCCATTACCAACCTTTCACTCACCAGCCAGGCACGTAGCCACTGCACTACCAGGGGCTCCTTCACTGTGTTTTAGTAACATTTGTTTCATTTTCTTTTATTAACATATTTAAGTGCTACTTATTCTAGGAATTAGTGCCTTTGTTATAATTCCTTTATAAAACAAGTTTCTAATTCAACATACAGTAGGTAGTAAAAGTAGTCCTGCATCCAGTTATTCTTGGACTGGATTTGTAGTCCAGAGTAGGCATTGGAGGCAATAGCAATCTGGTACTTGCCTGTTTTGCAATTGAACTTTTATTCTGGTTCAGCAGAGGGCAGTGTTGACTACAGAAAGTTGCGATAAAGGGGAGCGTACAAGGGTTTTTTAATTAAACTTTGAAAAGTATTTGTATCTTGACTATGAGAAGACTCATTTTTTTAATTGCTTTTTTAAATGTTTCTCAAATCATTTTGAGTAATTTTATAGGGCTTCAATTTACTGTTCTGTGATATTTTGTTCTGAGATTTGTTTGGCTTGCATTATAAAATGAATGAAGTGGTACATGTGATTTTTTTTAATCTCATTTAAATCTGAAATTTGCCTTAATATTTCTTATGATCTGTGATAGATCCTCTTCAGCAAGTTGGAGATTTTTGTTTTGGTGTTTTGGGCTTTTGTTTTTGTTTTTTCTCAAAATAGTGGCATCTGATAATTTTCAGTTTCATGAATTTATCTTGTTGTGTGATGTAGAATTGCTTGCAACTCATAGCGACCCGACCCATTATACAACAGCCCTGAACCCTGCTCTATCCTGTGCCAATCTTGTTGTCACTGACACACCGACCCCCTTACACCAGTCACTGAATTAATCCATCTCATCAAGGGTCTTCCTCTCTCATACTATCCCTCCACCCTCCCAAGAATGAGGTCCCTCTCCAAGGACTGGTGGTGCCTCCTTGCAGCATGTCCACAGTATGTCAGACGAATCTTCAGAACCCTCTTTAGGATAAACCTGTTTGTTTTCCTAGTGGTCCATGGTACTCTTCTCCAGCACCATAGGTCAAAGACAGCATCATTTCTCCTGCTATCATCCTTAGTCATTGTCTAGCTTTCTGATATATAGCAGGCAACTGCAAAGACTTTGGCCTGGATCAGGCCCCTCTTAGTCACCGCACTGACATCATTGCTCTTCAGTACTCTGAAGAGGTCCCTGACAGCAAACTTTGGGGGAGAAAATATTTCATTAATGTTGGTACAGCAACATAGAGCCTGTTAAGAATGGCTACAAGTTTCTACCTTCCAATTTAATGTTACTAGTTGTGTCTTTTTCTTTTTATGTATTTGGGTTTTAGACTGGCTTTTGCCTTCATTGCTTCACAGATTTAGGTGACTAAAAATTGGCTAACAGCTGTCCAAGTTAACTTTAAAAATTTTCTTGCCTGACCTGGAGGATGCATCTGTGCAGTGCATTCATTACTTCTGTGTAAATGATCTATCTGTGATAAATAATGAAATCGGGTCTCTACCTGTGGTAAGAAAATGAAATGTGGTAACTAGATACAGACTTGAATTAGCACTAGTTTTCCAGTTATCTGTTTCCTCTGTAACCACTCCAAAGCTTAGTGGTGTAAAACAACAACCATCTTATTATGCTCTCGGATTCTCTGGGTCAGGAATTCGGTCAGGGCACAGCAGGGATGGCTTGTCTCTGCTCCACAGTGTCTGGGGCTTCAGCTTAGAACTCTCCGGCGAGCTGGGGAAGACTCAGATCTTTGGGGGCTGGGATCTCTGGAAGCTTCTTCACTCACATGCCCTCTGGCTAGAGTGACTTAAAGGCTGAGCTCTGGATGTATAACCAAAAAAACTTCATGCATCCTTTCTATAAGGGTAGGTTTCCTCATAGATGGTGAGCAGGTACCTAGAGGGCTGTTTCCAAAGAGCAAACATTCAAGAGAAGCAGAAACCCTATGGGATTTACTGATCTAACCACGCTGATGATTATAGAGCAAGACATTAAGGCTAGCTCAGATTGGAGCGGGTGAGAATTAGACTCCACTTTTCAGTGGGAGGCATATGTAAGACATTGCAGCCATTTAAAAAAAAACAACCAAACACCAAAAAACCTATCATTACCAACTTTTAAATAATATATATTAAACCTACTCCTTGCAACTTTTAATTAGTATGGCAAACTTCTATTGACCCATATTATTTATCCTCTAAAACAGTGGTTAAAAATACTAATAAAAAGAAAAATAAATTTATTCTTATAAACCTTGCTACCTCATCTTCTGTAACTATGGCCTAATAAGTTTATATTTGAATTTTTAAAGTAATAATTCTCTTTATGGCATAGTTGAATGTGTCTTATTACTGTCTTTGTAGGGGAAAAAAATTAAGAACCGCAAAAGTGGCCATTTAACTATGTCTTAACTGTGACTGTTAAAAAGAAGTGCCTATTATTAATTTCCTAAAGACGTTATGCTAAGAGTGACCTGACTTGATGTCTTACATCCAGAACAATGAATTTCATTACACCCTTTCTTATTTTTATAAGTAGGGATTAATAAGTATATCTTATCTGTGAATATATCTTATCTGTGAATAAGTATATCTTCACACTGTGAAGACACACTGTGGTGGACAGTGTTTAATGGAGCTTCCCAATTCAAACAAGCTTGGAAGCAGGAGCGGCATCCACTTCTTGAAATAACTTGCCTCTGGAAACTCTGTGAACGTGGAGAAAAGACCAAAGTTATACAAGTGTTCAGGTCTTTTGTTCAAAAGGTTGCTGTGAGGCACTTAAAAATAACAACAACAACATAGAGAGCTCTGTTGGCCTAGAGGATAGAAAGTTATGCTATCATGCCAAAGGTGGGTGATTTTTTTTAATATTTTATTTTATTAATTTT